ATGTACATATACATATACATATACATATACATATAGATATACATATGCATATACATATACATATACATATACATATACATATACATATACATATACATATACATATACATATACATATACATATACATATACATATACATATACATATACATATACATATACATATACATATACATATACATATACATATACATATACATATACATATGCGTATTGAACTTTGTTAAGTCATTTAAAGTATAAGAATAAAAATGTTGAGAGGTAAATGGTAACCCATAGATCTATGTAAATGTACATATTATTGGAGATTAAAGGCAAAAGGTCATATGCCATGGGTTTTCCTTTTCTTTGTTTTTCTTTCTTTTACATAACAGTAAATTTGTAATAAAGTAGGATCGATTTAGCTATGGTTACTATAATATACACCATTCGATATATACTATGTATATATTGCATGTAACATCTGACACGGCACACATACAAACATGTATTTACATATGTGTGCATGTACGCATGTATGTATGTATTGATGTGTGTATGTACGCAGTTGCATTGAGGCTTCATCATTAATGCTTGGTTTATGCATGTACGTATTTCGCTCGCTCTCTCTTTCTCTCTCTCGCTCACTTTCAAATAGTCTATGTGTGTGTGTATGTGGGTGGTGTGTGTAGATAATGTTAAAGTGGTATTAAACTAGCCTACATACATACAAACTATTTAAATATCGTATCGTATGTACTATTTAAAGTCGATCCTTACATTTTGGTTGGTGTTTGCAGGACACTTATATATATATATATGTATACGTATATACATGCATATATATATATACAAATACATATGTATATGTGTACATATATATTGTGTAAATTCGCAGTAATGCTCAGCGGTTTTAATTTTAACTTAAATTATGGATTCATTTATTTAAATTACAATATTTGTGCGCTCTTCAATCCTCCCCCGAATCCCGCCTCCGAAACATCTACATGTTGATTCACAGATTTTAAATATCTAAACGCTAACTGGTTTTATTTGGTTTTCGTTTTTGATTTGGAATGTTTCTAGTGAGTATATATATATAGTATATATATACATATGTATGTATATATATGTGAACTAGATGGCTCTCCTATATTTTGTCAGCAGGCTCTTTATATATATATGTATGTATGTATGTATGTATATCTGTTGTTGCTATTGGTTAGCTCCTAGGGAAAATCTATTGTCAGACTCGCTCAATAATGTCATGGCTGTCTATGTACCTAAATACCTATATACATATGTATGCATGCATATCCATTAATGTTCTTGTAAGCATATGTAGATGTGTTGTATATATGAATCGGAAAAGTATCTAGATATATGTATATAGAAAAGAACGGCATTTAGAATATCCGAGAATAATTGAATAATTGAAATAGCTATACATATGTACAGGAAACATAGACATAATTATATGACAGTGCATTCGCTTTATCTCTGTATGCAAGAAAGGAAGACAACAAATCGATCAAACCATAATATTTGTAGACCAGCAACATAAATTGGAAATATCTTAAGCTATATTTCTCATTCTATGTATATGTATGTATATATATATATTTGTTTTTTACTAGTATGCACATGGAATTGAATCTAGCTGAATTTAGTTTTAGTTTATCTTTATATTTATCTTTATCTTTAGTATAATAACAATGGATCTTAAGACACTTATATGCGCGCATACACACACACCCACACACGCAGACGCATACACATACAGTTGCAAAAAATTGAGACTATCACACACACACACACACATATACACACATGCACACACACACACACACACACACAGGCACGCGCACATATCAGTATTTCAGGCATTAAATATCCGATTCATCCGCATTGGGGCTTTAGCTTTAGCTATTATATAATCGTAGTCGTAGTCGTAGATAAATACATTACATACAAAAATTTGATATCTACAATAATATTTGATAATATGCACAATCGTATAATAATAAAGATAGTTCGGCATTTAAATGTACATAATTGAATTATTAACTTTAAATATATATAAACAAGACAAAAACGCTTGCAAATGGATTACAGATTCATCGAGTTATGTATGTAAATATGTATGTATATATATATATATGTATATACTAAATAACTTACGATGTATGCGTGTAACTACATATGTATACAAGCATACCAACACATGCGCACACTAACACACACACCCACACACATGTATTTTTATATATGCTTGTGTGCTTGTGTGCGTATGTGTGTGTATGCATGTGTGTATAGAGAGAGATACTACCTACTTAGAGCTAATTATGTCTACAAGTATTCGAAATATTTTTACGCCTTACATACAATACGTTTCACATCTTTTACTTTTATGACATTCGAGTTAATCCATTATTTATATATTTTTTGTTTTCGGTTTCATTTTTTTTTTTTAATATATTTATTTTAATGTTTTGCATTGTTTTCTCTTTGACTTTTGCTTGTTCTTTGGTTTGAAGATCTTGTTTACATTTTGAAGCGGGCTTCTTCTGCATTTAAAGTGTGTGATACGAATGTTGTTGCTGGTCTTCGGGTGTTAGTTGTTCGTGATCTTGATTAGGTTTATTATGTTGGCAATAATGTTGCTCGATCGTCTCGCCAGATAACGCATATCCATAACTTGAGCTGGCTGCATTATAGTTGATGTCGTTATCTGAATAAACTCTCTGAATAGCTGAGACTGGTATTGAGATTGGTAATATCATTGCTTGATCAGTTGGTGTCATTGGTATTGCTATTGTTGTTGCTGTAGTTGTTGCTGCTGCTGCTGCTGCTGATCTTAGATTCCTGCTTACTAGTATATCCGATAGAGGCGATGTTGTTCGTGTTCCGGGCAAGGACAGTGCCATTGGAACTGGCATTGTTAACAGTGAAGCATCGCTAGGCGAGTACTCGTAGCATGTGTCTGGTTGTAGTTGATTTTGTTCTTGTTCTTGTTGCTGTTGCTGTTGTTGATGTGTTGAGAATTGTTGCGATTGCGGCTGTCGATTTGGGTTTAAAGCATATGCTGATGTGCTACCTGCTGGAGCTGCTGCTGTATATCGAATACATTCGTTTCGTATCGTATCAAAATTGTGATCTAAGTTTGGTGCTGATAACGATGACCAATTGGCCTGATGCTATACCCAGATCTGTTCGTTCGGATTACGCGATCGCAATCAAAGCCTTTGCTAGCACCAATCCTCCTCATCCGAATCGGAGTGTCGAGTATTAAGTCCGCTCTTTGGCTTAAAACCATTTAGAACTGGAGATGGCAGTACACGACCCGTTCGGCCCATAGCCAGCGCTTGCTCAAATGACAACGGTGCTATATATTCCAGTCTGCGAGCAAACAGCGATTACAAAGCATTATTCAATTGATTGAGAACATTAAATTGAACAGATCATATTACCTTTCTCTTTCCACTTCGCGCTCGCGTTCCCGTTCACGCTCGTACAACTCTCGTTCCCGGTCCCGATACTCGTAGCGCACGTCGTACTCGTGCAGCCGATCCCGGTCTCTGAAACGTTCCCGATCACGTTCTCGCTCTCTACTACTATAATACACGTCTCTCGGATCCCGCAAGAGGTCGCGGTGATGCGGCAGCGAGTGAACACTGTGGGGTGTTGAGTGATGCGTCTGAAAAAATTCCGAATTGAATATTAATCGCAATCCACGATAAAAAGATCTATAGATTTATAATCTTCAAGCCTAATATATATTAATTCTTTGCTAGCTAGTGCCCGACTAGCAAATACCTTGTCTTCTGAGCAGGGTATTTCAAGATCGATAAATGTAAAAAACAAAAAATTCGAACGATGTGCAGGGCTAAAGAGACACATCAAGATTAAATCAATATGGACTCTACCGCACCTCCTTCCGCTCATTACATGTATTTGCAGGAATACTTTCTACTCTACATTGAAAATGAATCTGCAAATTAAATTTAGTTAGGTGATTTGCACTTACGTGGGTTGGACTCGCATTCAGCTTTGGAAAATTAATATTGGTTGGCTTTAGCTGAAGGGTTGACGGTTTGCTCGGAGTCGGTGGTAGGCGTCGTCCGATGCCAGCACGACGAGAGGCCAACGTTGGGTAGCTGTGCTGTACATGGGCGCCACCTGTGGTAAACGGGGGACACACAGAGACGGAAACATATTAGTTCATTTTATGGTAGATCAGCGATTGTGTAACCAATTAAAATGTCATGATATAAGCAATGTATGAGCCTAAGAAATCTATCAAGGGCAAGAGTCATCAGAAACCAAACATGGTACATATAATGAGGATATTTCGATTGAGTGTATTCTTGCCCGAATGTTCAGTTGATATTGATATGGATATGGTTATGGATATACTATGTCAAGAGAAACTTTTGATTTTTGCATTTAGTCTGAACATTCGCGCTCATTGAACCAGAATGAACACTAAATAGATGTACAGGTTATATGTATATAAA